TTTAAAAACAGATGCAATTTTATGATAATAATTTAAAATATTCATAAGACTTAAATTCAATATTTTGTCCACTCATCTTCTCCTCCAGCTTTCTGGGGCCCCTTAAATGCCCCCTGGTGACCATCCAGAGGGCCGTGGACCCCACTTTGAAAAACACTTGTACATCACAGTTGAACTTGTACCTGCCTTGTTATAATATGTTATGCATGCTTTTTTATATTTTTGTGTAAATAGGTCAGAATAAAAGATTTGTGTCAGTTTAAATGCTGTTTCCCACTGCAGCAATTGTTGCCAAGTACAAAACCTACATTTTTACAAACACAAACAACATAAAATGGAATAAATCATGGGAGGCCTAAGGAATGAAATGCATGCACTTACAATGCGGCTGCTAACATTTAGCTCCTGTTCGGCTCAGTTTCTGTTCCTCATATTCTCCTGGTTTGAGCTACATTTTACTATAATTTGTTTCAATTTTCCCTGAAAGAGAAGAGAAGCTTAAAAAAGTAATTAACAGTTTCTAACTCACTCTTGTCAGCTCCTCTTCTTCCTCCTCGTGTTGCTCAGGAATCTCTTCAGACTCGGGTTCTGGCTCCTCTCCAACCGTCTCCACCACCCCTCCAACCATGTCGGCCATCTGTGCACTCAGCTGCCCGACGATTTCCACCTGGAAACAGATCAGTTACAGACTCAAAAAGCTTTTTTCTCTCCATTCACACTGAACTGGAAACACTTTGGTTCTAATCTCTGATTAGAGACGGCGTCGYTCTTTCATTTCAGCTCCTATAATCCCTGATGACAGAACAGAAAATAAGAAAAAAAGGGGGACACAGAACAGGCAAGTTAAGACTTCTCTCGTCCCAAACCAGACTGTGTTTCCTGTGCAGGRCATCATTGACACTGAGGCAGATGCAACAGGTGCAGATGCTGAATCCAACAGCCTACAAGTCAGAAACTTTCTGTCATGCCACTGYTGCTCCCCAAAATCGATCCAAACCACTTCAAGCTGACATGCAGACCTTTTTGGGAGTGCACCATGCAGATCTTCAGCCTGTCTCCTACCTTCAAGACTCCCCTGGCTGCTCATCATTCACTGCACTACAGCTGTGTGCTAAATTGGCCTGCTGATATAAAAAGTCAGATCAATAAGACAAAAACTGAGTGAATATCAAAGTCAAATGTAATGAAAATCACAAAAAGTTAATCCTGTAAAAAATCTATTGTCTTTTGGTATCTTGGTGAAAAAAAAAAAAGCTTTGCTGAACATAATGAGCATGCTGTTGGTTGGGAGGACTGTCAGTCTGTGATGCGACTGAAGCCAGATTTGTATTCAGWCACAGTGTCTTTGTGCTCTGTCAAATCTGCTCTGTCAGAACTTATTAAACCATCATCTGGTCCAAAAACCTGATCTGATCATTTGCATTCAGCGGACGAGCCCCTACCTGATGGGCCTCAACCTGCGCAGCCCCCCAAAGGTCGGCTAGCCGGGGGTGAGTGGGGGGTCCGAGGCTGTGGATGGTGCTGTTGGGGGTGGCTTGGAGGGAATGGGAGGCACTGTGTATCCTGTGCTCCATGGTCTGGATATGGAGAGAAAAGAAAACGGGAAAAAGCAAAATGCTTGATTTGTGTTTTGATCAGTTCTAAATAACAACTGATCAGTCAGGAAGTAACCTTTTTCAGTTCAGTTTAACTTATTTAAATAAGACCAATGCACACCAAGTCATCAACGACAGGAATATTCATGTTCCTCATCAGTGACGGATCTAGAATTTTTCTGATTAAGGGGCCATCAAGGGGCCACAATATTCATGGAGGGGCCAAGTCTTTGTTCAACATCTTTTCACACAAATCCCCATTGTAAACATTTTACTCTTCAAACACTTGTAATG